AATAGGAGAGAACGATTCCTTCCCCCACAAGGTTTCTGCTTGTTTGGGCTTGACAGCACCCCTGTTGATTCTGGTACCTGTAGCTATATCAGGCAGCCTCTAACCATTTAAATTGCATGGCAACACATACACTTTGGAACTCCCTGCTTATTGATACCAGGCCAGGGTCTTCACTATTTTCAGCTAACATTTTTTTATTTAGACATGATGGGTGTTTTAATCTGGGTTTTTTTTAGCCTATAGCTTTCTGAAAGTCTTAAAGTATTCTTAATTCTTCATATTGATAATTTTAGCATTTTGTATTTTGTATTTTTTTTTTTTTTGGTAAACTGTTTCGAGGTTTTATTTTTACAATCAAGCAAGTGTACAAGTGTACAATTTTTATGAAATATATAAGTGAATAAATGCTGGCGCAAGGGCTTTTCCGACACAAAAGGGCTTTGCCCGTTTGGAATTTGCGAAAACTCTCTGGTTTCTGCCTGCAGATTCCAAGCAGAAGAAGCATTGCGAAGCAACTGAGTTAATTAGCCAAAATGGAAAGAGAAAGGGAAAAAAATGTTATCTGACTGTCTATTTAAATAGCTAAAAGTTACTGGCGTAGATTTGGCCTGAAGCAAATTAGGGAAAAAAAGCATACACCTTAAAATTCCCTTGCTGGAATATAATTTACCATTAATATATTTAATTAAAAGATACTTCTGTGTTCCCTTTCCTGGTCTCTCACAGGTGCAACAGCTTTCATGTTTATTAATAGTATTAGATCAAATAAGGCAGACTTTTGATAATATATTGCAGGCTCATCGTTTTGGGAAACTGCAGGTTTTACAGGTGCTTTTCGTTTCATCTCCCCCTCCCCCCCCATGAAAACTATGGTGGATAAGTACTGAAAATTTAAAATGCAGTTTTTACTTATGAAAGATCTAACCTTTATAATAAAACTTGAGTCAAAGCACTGAAAGAAATACAATTGCCGAAACTGATTTTCTTTCTTTCTTTCTTAAAAAAAATTAGTGTGTTTCCTTCCCCCCCCCCCGCCAACTTGCATAATTCGTACAGTGTTACGTGCAATATTTGTACAGTGGAATCAGAAACAAAATAGTTCAATGGGCATGACGAAAGAAACACAGTAAGATACAGAGGATATAAAGGGAGCTGGTTTTCAGAAAGGAGTACGAACTTGGTACCCAGTTTGTTTGTTTTTTAAATGCTCGGAAATGAAGGGGAACGGTTTAGGAAATGGCTCAGGATATGCTTTATAATTATCATTTCTCTGCATTACATGGAAGGGATCTTAATGCAAGAGAAGGCATTGCAATGTTGGTTAAACAAAAATTAAAAATCTTTGCATTGCATTTTGGTAAAAGCCCCATTTTCCTTCTTGTGCAATCATTATCTGTATTCCTGCATGTGAACCTCTTCTTATGAGCGGTGTGAAAGAGGGTAGAGATTTCTGAAGGGAAGAAGTCACTACTGATGCTGCAGCGATCTGTCCCACTGTCCTGCCTCTGCAAAGCTCATCTCTCTCTCCCCCCCTTTTTTTAAAGGACCACAATGCAGCATTCTGCACCAGGAGGGAAAAGCTGGGGATATTCTTTTGGGCTTTGTGTAAATAATGTTTAAGGATCAGAAATAGTTAATTACATTTCCGACGTAATTGATGATATTGCAGTAATGCATTAGGACGTCTCATCAGCATTTCCCTAAACTGTTCCTCCGAGGGAAATATTCCTGCTCAAACTCTGATTTCTTCACTTTGCTGTGCTCTGAAATGTCAAAATCGATGCATTCATCAGAGTTTTTCCGCATGCAAATGTTCAAACCTTTTGCCTCCCCGCTACTCCTCAGTTTTGCACAGTCTCAAAAAAGAGGCAGAAGAGGATAGGTTTTGCTCAACGAAAACACGCTTCTTTGCATTTTACACTTTATCCTTCCCTTCCCTTAAAAGCAAGAACATCCCTCAGCTTTTTTTGCATTGCAAAAAAGAAGCAATTTTGGTGTGTTTTTTTTTACTATTTTTGCTATTTACAGAATACCATACATACCTTTTCATGTATTTATGTATGCGTATTGTGCACCTCAGACACTTCAAGGTTGCTAAGTATCTTAACACCAAATGCAAGAATAAATAGCGTATCCCCAAACAATACAATAAAGAACAGAGCTGTCCTAAAGCCAAAAATTGAAAAGCCCAATACAGCAGCCTTAAGAACTTAAAAAGATCTCTGCTGGATCAAGCCAGTAGCCCATCTAGACCAGCATCCTGTTCTGACAGTGGCCAACCAGAGGTCCTAATGGGAAGCCTCCCAAACAGGACCTGACTGCAAAATCAACCCCTCCCCTCCTGCCATTCCCAGCATTTAATTAAAATCATTCAACTTATTGTTTAATTTTATTTAAAGGCAATGCCAGAGGGGGTTTCCTTCAACACTCAAAAGGCCCCCACAATGCCCCCTGAAATAACACGTTGAAGTTGTAACGTCACAAGGCTCAACAGGTCACTGTAGTAAAGCACTGTGAGGGAAAAGATGGAATTGTGACCCAAGGAGAGGTACAATATACACACCTAGTGGTTAGAATCGTGGACTAGGAGTAGGAAGAACCAGGTTGAAATCCCAACTGCTCTATGAAGCACACCGGGGGTGATTTTGGACCACCCACCCCCATTTTGAATCACCATCTCTCAGCCCAGTCTACCTCATAGGGTTGCTTCAAGGAACTGGCGGAGGAAGAGGAGTACGGGGGGAGCACACCGCCCCCGGCAGTGCGATCCCAGTAGGGTGCCATTGCGGCTGCCCCCCCGCCTGCACTGCATTTGGCATGCCCCACCCCCAGGATGCGCGCCAGCCCCCCTGCTTGCTCTCCGCCCCCCGGTGCTGGAGCGTGAAGCTCTGCCACTGCTTCAAGGATAAAGTTATGAGACAGGAGATTTGGGTGGATCTAGAGACAGGAAAACCCCCACCATAAATATGTCAGAAATTAGATCTGACTTTTAGAAGACATCTGAAGGCAGCCCTGTTTAGGGAAGTTTTTAATGTTTGATGTTTTATCGTGTTTTGAATATTCTGTTGGGAGCGACCCAGAGTGCCTGGGGAAACACAGCCAGATGGGCAGGGTATAAATAATAATGTATTATTAGTAGTAGTAGTATTATTATTACAAAAGAAAAAAATCTCTATGGAAAATCACATTAAAAAATTTCCTGCTCCCTGGCGCCATCTGGTGTTGCATGTTTATAGCACATTCAAATAGCTGTTTCTTTACTAATGCAGCTGAGTCCCATTAGGCAGAACTTTACAAAGGTGAAAGTTGTACGACAGTGAAATGAATTCCTTCTGAAGGTGATGGACTCTCCTTTGTTTGAAGTCCTTAAACAAATGTTGGATGGCAGTCTATCAGGGATTCTTTAGCTGTGCTTCCTGCTTTGTAGGGGGTTGGACTAGAAGACCCTGGATGTCCCTTCCAACTCTACCATTCTATGACTCCAGGAGGGGAACTATATAGGTTCCGTTGAGCTATAGATGTGATAAATACTGGTACATGGGCTTCTCTCTTCTGTTGCAGAAGAGGATGAGGGAGATCTTATCCATTGTTAGCTAATTGTACTATTGACCCATTCCCTTCTTCCTCTTCCTCTTCCTCTTCCTCTTCCTCCTCCTCCTCCTCTTCCTCTTCTTCTTCTTCTTACTCCTCCCCCCCCCCCCGTTCTGGAGTGTCCCAGTGGATAAAGCAGACCAGGAAAGGAGGAGGGGAAGCAGCTACCCAGGAATCTGTCTCTTGCCCTGAATAATTCACAGCCTAATTTAGTCAGCATTAATTAATGTAGTCAAAACAATTCACCTATTTTTATTAATGCAAATAGCAAATTTGAAAAACAATTAGTTTATTATAAGGGAAATCAGAGTATTTTGACAGTGCCCATTAGCTCTGCAAAATTTTCTAGTGAGGTTTTTTGTTTCGGTTTGGATTTTTGTTTTGTTCCACCCCCCCCCCCTTTCTCCCCATAAATTGTAACAGCTGCTTGTTTTACTTTTGGCAAAATCACAACTGAGGAACATTTTGGCTGGGGGGGGAGGGCAGAGGGAAACATTAAATGTGGTATTTTTAGGAAAACGTGCACGGTCCAGGCTTTCGTGTTTATGTCAGGAACTGGGCGTACAAAGCCTTTCTGTCTCCATCCACTGTGTTTTTCTCAGAGAACCAGAGAATTGTAGAGATGGAATGGACTCCAAGGGTCCTCTAGTCCAACCCCTTGAATGCAGGAATCACAGCTAAAGAATCCCTGAGATTCAGGTAGGTAGCCATGTTGGTCTGATGCAGTCGAAATAAATTAAAAAATTGTCCAGTAGCACCTTAGAGACCAACTAAGTTTGTTCTGGGTATAAGCTTTCGTGTGCATGGTATCTGAAGAAGTGTGCATGCACATGAAAGCTTATACCCAGAATAAACTTAGTTGGTCTCTAAAGTGCTACTGGACAATTTTATTTATTTATTTCGAATTCCTGAGAGGTGGCCATCCAAGCTATGTTTAAAGGCCTCCAATGAAGGAGAGACAATATCCTTCTTAAAATGTGGTGCAGTGAGAAGAACATCTTCTGAGATGAGATGCTGCTTATTTCGCTTTTCATGTTTTGGCGAGTGAAGGGACTTGTGTCATTACAGATCCACAACTGTTGTGCTAAACAGTCTACAATTGTAGTTTGTTTAGCATATGCCCTGATGAGATCTTGCATATCACTGGAACCCTTATAGGTCAAGATCAGGGTGGGTACGATGGACTGTTGTGGCTATTTGTGTCTCTTCCACTTCCACCTAATTTAGAAGACAGCATATGCCCCTTCAGGGAACAAAGGGACCATCACACTGATCTCATGATACTTGATGAAATGTGATTGCAACATAAGCTGCAGCTTATAGCATTTAAACATTCCTAGTTGCTATTTTTCTTAAGTGATTAGATTGGTAATGTTGTGATTTTATTGTATTTTGTTATTTTAAATTGTGAGGTGCTCTGGAAGAGCCTTTCATCCTGAGAAGCAACATAAAAAAAATAAAAATCTCTGAAAATAAATTAGTCAAAATATTGAGTGGGCGAGTTGTCCCTATTACACCTTGCATCTGTCTGCATCTGTATTAGGTCAGGGTCCCAATTCTGAAAACAGACTGCAGTCGGGTGTTTTACATACACATCTTGAAGTCATAAAGATCGAAAGCTTGTGTGTTTGTTGTAACATGCTTACCCGATATTTGATGAGTGAAAAGCAACGTTGTCACTGTCAGCCCTGAACTGGCTTAAACGTGTCAACTTTTGAGGTTAATTTCATAGTGTGTTAACCCAGGAAACATAAGGCAAGATGGTAATCATGTAGTTCACTGATGGCTGAATTCTCCCCCAAATTACCAGGAGCAGATTCATCCACTTACTTGCCACTTACCGGAAACATCCACATATCCTGCCGAACATGGTTTTACACTTTACGCTGTTGGCCTCAGAAACTCTTACGCTGGGCAAAAGTAAGTGCTCTGATGGTAGCTTTTGTGAACTGTGGGTCTACAGTCAGGGAGCCAGTGCGTTTGAAGAGACATACTAATATTTTCTAAGCTTTTTAAGAGTTCCGTCTCCATTGTGTTATTTGCTAGTGCTGCTGTTGCTGTATAAACACTGCTGATTTTTCCAACTTCATTTCCGCAATATTCTAACAGAGCACATTTTAGAACTTCATTTTGCTTTAGCTCCACACCCCACCACCACCACATCTTTCATTGATCTCCATGTGGTATTTATGCTCACAAATGCTAGATGAAAGCTGATTTCCCCAGATCTTCTAGATCAGAAGGGCATACTTGGTTCTGCAGCAAGCGTGGGTTCCTGGATGTTCAGTGGATATGATTCTAAAACATACCCAGTTTTGATCTGTCGGGGATTATCCATTTTTAGTTAGTCCTGAAAATTTGTCAGAGACTGTGCTGTGGCTCTGTCTAGGCACGTTGTATATAGGATGGTATCCCATGCTATGTTGTATGAGATGGAAGCATTACTCAGAGGTGGTATTCCATGAAACTATTCTCAAACCAGTTCAGTGGCCCTCAATGGATGGGAAGTTTTCTTTGTTGTCAGTGATTTGCAAACAAATGTTACCAGTGTCATGGTATCAAGGAGAAAGTTTGCCATTGGAGCAATACCTGTTGCATATGATGGTATGGCTTTTCCTTATGAATTTAATTGCAGTACCTGAAATCTAATGTCTGCTTCTGTCTGGGTGCTTGTGCATGTGTTTTTAGACTAGAGAGTTTGTCTTTCACATTTAACTTCTCCAAGAAGTCCAAGGTGTGTATATGGTGTGTACATCTTTACAACCACAACAACCCTGTGAGGTAGGTTTGGCTGAGAGATTGTGTTGGAGCCAAGGTGAGCGTCATGACTGAACTGCATTTGTTGATGTGTTTAAAGTTAGCTGAGTTTCCTTTTCTTCACTGTAAAAGGAAGATCTGGTAAAGAGCCTAACTGTGGAGGATTAGGTTGTTGTTGTTGTTGTTAAATCTGTATAGGACAGTGAAGCTCCATAAAGGCGAAGGGAGCCATTGACAGGAGATGATTGTCTGAAATATAAGCCAAAAGACAAACTGAGATGGAAGCAGGTAGCAAATAACTAAGATCAAAATGAAGAATGTTGCAAGAATGGAGTGAATTTATCCGGTTCCAAGAGAAGACTCAACAGATAGAAAAGCTTGGTCTGAGAACAAGATAGGATTTCAGATTCACCTGCTCCACAGCACACCAAAATCCATTTGGATTCTGGTGTGGATTCTGATGGCGATTATGGTAGTGCTAAATAATCATGAAGCTTTTGCTAAGATCCCATCGTCCAAGCTTCTATCGTAACTGTGAATCCCAAACTAATGTCCATTTGGGGGTTTCTGCACCTTTGTAGAGATAAGCCACACAATGTGCACAACCCTTTGATATAGATGCTTTGGGTTACATGCAAACCTCATTAAATTCAAATCAAGACTGACCTAGAGTAAGCATGAGTGCCTCAGTCTAGAGAGCTGTGTACTCTCTGAAGTATACACTTCAGTGCACACACAGCTATCTTCATTTATTTCAGTGGAGAGGCCTGATCCAGCCTAATATGATAGGAAAAAAAGTGTAAATGTGGACATCTCATGTAATCTGCATATTTGCTCTGTGTTGCGGTGTGTGTGGAGTGTTCTGTTATTTTCTCTCCGTGTGTGTTACTTGCAGCCTTTGAGTCTTCTGCTTGCAGAAAAAGAGGATTTTCCTACACCGTCAAATTTATTGGATGTTACCTATTTTAGCCTCCCTCCTTTTGTTTGTGCGATAACACACCTTGTTTGTGCACTATGGTTCATTGCCACTTCCATATGGCTGTTGAATACGATTGCACGTTCCTTCAGGGGGCTATAAATAGGGTATCTTGAGGGATTGTCAGGCAAGGAACAACCCCACACAGACTCTCTGTGTGTGTCTCTGTGTGGAAATGATCTCCAAATCAGCCTAGGATGGCACACAGTTCATTTATAATTTGGCCACAATAAAAAGAATAGATGGGCCAGTGCAGAAGGAGACACTCTGAGAAACCACACTGTACCAAAGATTTACATCTGCTGGTGCATATCTTTTGCGTTAGAAGGCATGTTGAGGATTCCAAAACCCTTTATAAGGTTGAACACTCCATGCAAATATTAAATACATTAAGCAAGAGGAAGGGTCGGGCAGCGCTATACATTTGCCATGTTTGCTCCTGGCCTTTACACCACTGAAAAGCACTTATCCTTTCTCCATTTCCCCAAACATGAATGGAGAAATCTCATGTCAGAAAGCTGCTGCACAGGTAAACCTTGGGTGGACTTAATTGCAAGTACAGCTGCTCAACTTGGTTGGCAATCAGCTGGGAATGCCTTTGTTTGTTTATCTTGTTTCATATGTGTGTGTGTGTGTGTGTGTATACACACAAAACACTGGATTGTACAGGAAGAAATAAATAAATCTCAAACCGGTTTACAAAAAGAAGGCAAAACGTTAAAATGACCGATAAGAAAAATTAATAGCAAGTAATTTTAGACTGTCAAGAAGGTAAAATAACAGTAGACTAAAAACAGATAAACTTCCTTAACATCTGGGGAGGCACATCTAAACAAAAGCGCTTTTAGCAGATGCCAAAAAGAGTGCAGTGAAGATGCTTGCCTGATATCAAGAGGCAGAGAGCTCCCAAGTGTAGGTGCCACCACACTGAAAGATGGAGTTCTTGCAAATGTAGACTGGGTATTATGCAGCACTTGTAACAGTGCCAATTCTGCCACAATCAAGTGGGTGTATATGGGGGCAAGGTGATCTCTTGGGGAAACTGGTCCTAAGTTGGTTCCTAAGTGCATTGGCTTTAATGGGGTGAGATTCAAGCTGCATGCCAAGGGGGATGAACGCCTCTCACGCCCTAAGCTTCCTGGAAATGTTAGCATCACAGAAAGGTGTGTGTGTGTGTGTGTGTGTGTGTGTGTGTGTGTGTGTGTGTTCATTCACAGGTAAAGTTGCATGCCCAAGTCTTTGGCTCAGCATCTCTGCTTAAAAGCATATCCACTGCTCAGCCTCCATGTAGGAAGGCAACCCCCGCTTGAACAACAAGAGATCATTAAGTTGCAAACCTGGCTTTTTAAGCTGCTTCGGGAAAATATTCTATCATATGGCATGAGGAGGGGTGGAAACTCTCTCTTCTAAAAAATGCAAAGTCCAAAGCAACTTTGTGTGCATGGGGTAGTTGTGTGGGTTTTCGTGGGGTGGGTGAGTTTGGATACTGGCCAGATTTCTTTATCTAATGGCAAACAGCAGAATGTGTGTAACTATGGCAGTAAGAGTTGGCGGGATGGGAGTCAGTGTACAAGCTGTGTAAGTCAACTACAATGATTCCAAATACACTTTCATATTTAAAGTGTACTTAATGGGATTGGCCACCTGTCAAATACTGCTGCCCAGGTCATATGCTTTCCTTCATAATAGGCTCCCGTTAATAGAGTTTTTATTATTTGGATTTGGCAGGCATACATGCTTTTATTGAATGAACTTCCTGCTAAGTTTCGGAAGAGAGCAATGGCTGGTTTATAACATAATTGCACTATATGTTGATAGTATCTTTTATTGTAATTGTTTTTCATTGTTTTTAATAAAAGAATAGGAATAATAGGAGACATAGTAGAAGATGAATTTTTTTCCTTGCCTTTCATTATTCATGAAACTAAAAAAAAAAAAAAAATCCCAAATAAGCATTTTACAGAGGGTAAAAAGGTCTCATTCCAAAAGTGCCTAATTTAAATCAGTTTATACAGTGAAACAGCTAATGATCTTTAGTGTTGAGAGGTGTAATGCTTTTATACTTTTTTATGAATAGAATTGTAGGGAGGGGGTAGCTCCATTGTGTAGGGTATGCTGAATTTCTACAACCATCCTTTATCAACAGATGGCAACTAGCACATGAAAAATAATTAAAAAATAAAATGAAAAGAAATCCAGAATGAATTAAAGTGCTTCTCTGCGTTCTGATCTGCATTTCCCCCCTTCTTTCTTTCCTTCTACGTGTGTGTGTGTGTGTGTGTTTTGGTTTAAGAATTTTTATGGTGAATTGCCATATTATCTGTTACATCAGTTTACAATGAGGCTCCTATCAGACATAAAACAGATTTATAATATCATTAAAACACAATATCAAAGAATGAATAAGCAATTCAATAAAATTACAATAACGCAAAGATAAAATGAAAGCCTTTTCAATAACAGTTTTATGCAAGAACATTTTGCAGATAAATATGTGTTTATAGATCTTTTAAATGCACATTTATTATCCTGCTCCTAATAGAGCCACAGGGGTTAATTTTTTCCCCTTCTTCCTCTGTGTTTTTCTTTATAAGTGGTTCAAAAAAACAGCTGCAAAACTCTTCAATAGATTGTTTTCTGTCTCAGGACTGATTTTAGGGAAAAGAGCATTTTGCAGTACAGAATCAAGTTAATTGAACTGGGCTGAAAGCTGCATTTGTGGAACCTTTGCAAAATCAGAGCCATTTCTGACAGGTAGGTGACTGGGAAGGATCTAAATTCTGGCCATTTCCGCTTTTGCATGTGCTCATGTCCATTCTGTCCCTTTGGCTCATTGACCTACGATTTCCACCTCAAACAATCCACATGAAAATGTGCATTCAGATATGCATTTATCAATATATATATTTTTTCTCAGAGCAGGGATTTTAAAATACAATTTGATACGTTTAAATTGTCGAGAAGTGTGTCACAAATATTCAGAGAGTTGTGAATTCCAGGGGGTAGGCAATTTCTGATTTGCATTTTAGTCCTCAAAGTGCTAATCAATTTTGTTGAGTTCAGAATTCACAAAGGACCAAATTGCTCAAGCACCCCTGGTATTAAGCCAAGGGTGTCGGACATAGCAAGCTGTCCCATACTGAGTCAGACCACTGCTCCATTTGGCCCAATACTGTTGACACAGGGTTTCATGTAGTAGTGTGGGTCTTCCTCTCCTCTACCGGGAGATGCCAAGGACTTTTGCATGCAGAGCCTCTGAACTATCACTGCATTGTTATGGCTCTTCCTCATAAGTGTACCTTTTTGACATCCATTTCAGCAGGCGTGTAATCAAGATGTCTGTAGTAAGCAGGGATACGGTCATGAGGGGATGACCTCAGGAATACTTTAGCCCGCCACCCCAAAGTTTCAGCTGTCATTTAAAACAAATAAGACTCTAGTTCTTTTACTTGTGGAAATATTTTCCTCCTCCTCCTCCTCCTCCTCCTCTTCTTCATTTACTTCTGCATCTTCATCTTCATCTCTCCCTCCTCCTCCCCCAATCCTTCTCCCCTTCTCCAGCCCTTCACCATCAGGTGCCAGAGCAGGTAACATCATGAAAAGCACAATATTAAAAACAGTTTAAAACCACTTACAAAATAAGGTGGGTGCTAAAGATATACAACTCAAGTGTCAAATCCAGGAAGAAAAAGATGCAGGCAATATCCTACCCAGTTGCCCACATAGAAGTGATAGGAGACTCTTAAACCCAGGGTTCGAGTCTCACATTGGGGTTGGACTAAATGACCCTCATAAAAGGTAAAGGTAAAGGGACCCCTGACCATTAGGTCCAGTCGTGACCGATTCTGGGAATGTGGCGCTCATCTTGCTTTATTGGCCGAGGGAGCCAGCGTATAGCTTCCGGGTCATGTAGCCAGCCTGACTTAGCGAACCAGAGCAGTGCACAGAAACGCCATTTACCTTCCTGCCAGAGTAGTGCCTATTTATCTACTTGATCTTTGACGTGCTTTCGAACTGCTAGGTTGGCAGGAGCAGGGACCGAGCAACAGGAGCTCACCCCGTCACGGGCATTCGAACCGCCGACCTTCTGATCGGCAAGTCCCAGGCTCTGTGGTTTAACCCACAGCGCCACCCGCGTCCCAGTGACCCTCGTAGTACCCTCCAACTCTACAGTTCTGTGATACTATGATGATGTATGTTTACGCTGTCTCAATTTACCAAGAATGGTCCTTATTTTCTGATGGCTGGATCGCCGTCCCCGTTTTGCTCCTATTATTTTCGCATCGTGGGGCTGCTTCCGTAAAACGTTGTTAGTGTGAGCTTCTTGAGTTGGTATTCCTAGGGGGTTACTTCCCCTTCCTCAGGATCTTGAGAAGTTGTGCCACTTGGTGGGTGAGTGGATACAACTTGTCTCTCGGGCAATTACAGGAGCAATGGTTGCGTACGGATACCAAGTCACTAAACAGTGCACAAGTCTGCCATTTTGCCCCTGTGGATGTATATTTCAAATGGTGGATAGTGCACTGCAGGAGAAACCTGTTTTTCTAGTTTATCTGATTTCTTCCACCATTCTCTACCTGCAAGCACAGAGGAGGGGTGGGGTCAATGGGAACTGGCGTCCAGCATTATCTGTTGAATTAAGTAGTCCCTTCAAGCAAGGGAACAATCATCTTTTGGCATGTAAATCAGTGGAAGGCATATTGTTAGGGAATAAACAAACATGGAATATAGGAGGCAGATTAGAGCCTCCGCTACAAAATAGTTTAATGGAGGTAGGCTGAGGTTTTCAAAATGATCCACTGTATGACAATGAGGGTGTTACATACATGCCCTCTTTTTGTTGGTTAACATTTTGGAGGATATGCAATTGAACAATTTTCAGCATACTAGGCTACATACAGTTATGTCCTAGCTTTTCTTGCAAAATATCTCACTCTGGACCTTTCAACAAGTATCAAGACCTGTCTAATAACTCCTGTGCCTGGGAGGCAGGGAAAGGGGACGCTTGGTCCAGTTAAAAATATGCTCAATATTTTTAAGCTGCAAACTCACTTAACTCAGTTACTAGGGAGTAAATTTCATTCAATGTAGTGGGATTTGTTTCTGAGTAAACATGCCCAGGTTTGCTCTGCTAGTTTATTAATCGTCTTCCTTGTGATTGTTTAATCAGATTGATTGCATTTGCATAATCCAAACCTCAAAATAGCTGCCTTTTTTGAGACACAGAAGAAAGAGTGAAGCTACCGGTTATCACAGAAATTAAGCAACCTTTAACATTAACATTTCCTATCGCACAAAACTGAATAGTTCTTATTACAATCACATCCCCAGAATCAATAACGTTTCCACAAGAAAATGAAGTGTTCCGAATTTTCGGTCCCACCAGTTTACAATGGTCTATACTTTTTAATCAACGTAAGGCTTAGTTGATTAATCTACTGGTTGAAGTGATACAGACATTGTAAGCACGGTTCATATGAATACCCTGTTGTCTAGCAGTCACAATGTGCGTCTTAATTACGCATCCTGTTTGCATCCTTTATTTTTTATTTCAGAGCATAGTCTTTGGTCCCTTGGAAGTCATCATCGTCTCTTTTCTCCCACCCAGAATAAAGTCAGCATGCCTGAAAAAATGTAAAAAGCTTTGGATAAACATGGTGGTGGGGAACGGGGTTAGGCCAAAGTGTCCGAAAGAAGCATCTTAGCTGATTAAAAAAATATGCACAATTAAAAACTCCATGCATCATTTCCCCTTTGTTACTCTGAGGATCGGTCTGTGTTCATAGGAGTCTTGGCAATGAACGAAGGCAGACCTTCGTGCCCTTTTAGAACCCAGAGATATGTATCTTTGTAAAAAACTGATCACAGGTTTTCCTTGTGGTCTCCCATCACCACCAGAACCGCAACCTGGTGCAAAATTTATAAGAAATTCTTGTGAGGAGTTGGATGGATGGACGGGGGGGTGGGAAGAGAGAGAGAATGAATTTGGACTCTATTTCTTCAGTGAGCACATCTGTACTTAATGGCTTAGAATTGAAGGGGGGGGGAGAGATTTTGGTCACACCGGCATTCTCTCCCCCCCCAACCTAGCTCCCAGTTTCCTCCTCCTTTGTTGCAATCATCCGTTGATTTCTTCCACCTTTCTCTGCCTGCGAGCAAAGAGGAGGAGGAAGCCAGCCTGCCTTCGATGGGATAATATACCGTTAGGCAATAAGGATGGCAATGGGAAACAGATTCACGCTGAGAATGTTTGGTTGCGACGTGCAAAAAGCAAAATAACTGAAGAATAAAAGGCAAAGAAAAAGAAGCTTCCCTCAGTCTCTCTCTCTCTCTCTCTCTCTCTCTCTCTCTCTCTCTGACACAGCATTTGCCCAAAGAGCCTTCCATTTCAAATTTCCTTTCCCCCTAAAACATTTCTGCTGCAAAGCATAGTTTTTGTTTTCGTCCCCCCCCTTTTTTTTTTGCTTTTCCTTTTTTGCTTTTCAGCTCCTTATTTCCGTTTTCTGTTCCAGAAATTTTTAGCAGACGCCAGAGCGGCTGCTGCAAATAGCACTATTTCCACAGCACAGGCTGTTTGATTGCAAGTGTCTTGATTGCATCATTAGTTCTGAAGTGCTGTGCTCAGTGAAACAAACCAGCATCTTGGACATTAAAGTGGTATCCTGGTGTTTATGAAAAGAGGCCTCATATACACCACTTCATCTTACAAACCTGCCTTTCCCTACCCGCCCCCCCCAGTGGATTCGTGCAGCATTAGGTAAACAATTACACGAGATGACTTTACTGGTGCTTTTCGTCCTTCTTTAATTCATGCATGTAAGCATTCTGGCGTTAGTGCCGCATAAAGTGTAATGGAGTCTCCCCCCCGCCCCAATCCTTTGCAAAAGATGTTTCAATATTCTTTTCTAACAGGAAAGAATCAGGAAAAGGCAGCTGAGAGGTGTAGCGCTTTGCATCAAAAGCCAAAATAGATCAAATAGGTTTGCAACCCAAGAGTTTGTAGTAACAATCTCTGGTTGTTGGCTTTCTTGTTCATTGTCTTTTTTTTTTTGGCCTAAAGTATATATAAAAAATGTGCTCCCTATTCAAGGTGATAGGAAGAAAACAATGTACATGACCCCCACTTTTTAAATACTAACTGTGGATACCAATTGTTCATATACAGAGACACCT